TTAAATTAACCCATAATCTTGTCTATGTTTAGCCACATGGCTTGGTATCTTTTCTCAGTGCAGCATTCTCATCTTGCTTCCACTGTGTCTGGGTGGCAACTGCAGACTGAGCCTTTCCTCTTCCTAGAATTCTTCTAGTCTGGTCGCCCTGCCTATACTTTCTGTCTGGCTGCTAGCCAATTAGCATTTTATTAAACCAATACATTTGACAAATCATTACAGGCTACAAGAGCATTATCCCACAGCCCATGGCCTATGGAGGATCACAAGCTAGGCATATAGAGCATGTAATCACTCCTCTGATTGGATAGTTATACATGATTACCTCTCTGGTTGGGCTTTGAGCGTGCACAAGGAGTGTGGCGTCCTTACTGACTCAGCCCAGGATACATTAAAAAGTGACCAATCCCAATAAAGATTACCTTGATCTTCATTTATTTCCTGCCCTGAGACTCATTAAATAACACCTAAAGGGCAGGGCAACACAGTCCTTGCTTGGAACATGTATAGTTATTGTCTTGTTGCTGTGATAAAAACAAACAAACAAACAAACAAACAGAAACCCTAACAAAAGCAACTTAAATGAGAAAGAATTTACTTTTGGCTTCCAGTCCAACCCATCAAGGCAGGAAAGACGTGGTAGGAAGCTGGGAAGGCATGGTGGTATGAATAGGGTCTGGATGGTCACTTTGCATCCACCCACGCTCAGGAAGCAGAGAAGGAACAGGAAATGGGGGCAGTCTAGAAAGTCAAGCTCCTGTGATACACTTCTTCCAGTGAGGCTCCACCTGCTAAACATTCCACAGATTTCCCACACAGCACCGCAAGTAGGGCATCAGTTTTTAAACATGTGATCTCGTGGAGGACATTTCCCATCCAAGACACATCATTCCTCTCCTTGACTCCCATACACTCATGGCCAGACATCTTCTGATACACGTCAAATCCAACTTTAAAAGGTTGCCGCAGTCTTTAACAGTTCCAACACTGCTCAGGAGTTCAAAGTTTCTCCTGATACTCATAGCAACCTCTCATCTAAAAAGACTGTATGTCACTGGAACTGTACCTCCCTGATTCAACAAAACTTGCTGGCCATTGAGTCTTTGGCATCCTCCTACCTCCGCCTTCCCAGTGCTAACTAAAATTACAGGTACAGGCCGCCATTGACAGTATTTTTAAATGGATATGGGGAATCCAAACTCAGGTCCCCATGCCTGTAGAGCAATCATTTTACCATAAACTGATTGTCTCCACAGCCTGTGTACTTTCTCTTCTTTTCTTGTTGTTGTTTTGGTTTGTTTGCTCACTTTTACTTTTAAGAAAAATCATCTAGATACTTTTTCTGCTCTGGCTCAGAACTGAAATCCAATGATTCTTCTGCCTTAACTCCGGAAGTAGCTGTGACTCCAGCCACTCTACCTGGCTTTTGCTGCACTTTGGAGCAACAAAACCCACAGAATAAAAGTTTAATGCAGAATGGCTGCTGTGTGTTTTGGGTGGGGCTCCTGCCCAGTGCTCTCCGGTGTCAGTTTCAGACTGGTTCCTGAGAAGAAACCCAGCACCCTGTGAGGACTGCCTTCTTCTGTTCACTTCACTCCACCCTCTTAAAGGCAATCTTTGGTGTATGCCAAATGCTGCAGAGGGAAGAGTTTACCTCCAAAGAGTATCTCTTGGCAGCTTTACCTGCGCTGTCTTTGGCCACAGGCAATGGCAATACGGGGAACATTGTGGAGCTCAGTGCGTTCCCAGATCAGCCTGCTGCGAGGGAATGGAGAAGGTGGTGCTCTTCCAATTCAACATGCTGCAATTAGGGTCAAGAAGGTACTGGGCTCGGCTCTTCATTTTCACATTTACATTTTCGGCGACATCGGGAGATCTGTTTCCCAGTTTTCTTATAGGATAGGAGAAATGAATGATCCCTGCTTCCTTGTGCCTCTCAAAGGTTCGTTTTCAGCATTTTCAGGGCAGTGAAAAGGTTTTAAGCTGCAGGCTTCCACAGCGGCTATTCAGGGGAAACCAGTCTGGACGGCTTTCGAGATGGCACATCTACAGCCAGGTGTGCACTCTTATGTTCAGGCCTTTGCCCAGGAAGGACAAGACCCTGGGCTCAATGCCCAGCCCAGGAAAAGAAACCTCCTTCCCTGTTTGGACTGTTTGTCAAGTTCTCCAATTACCATCTATCAGGAATTTGGGGGAATCATCAATCCGTGCCACAAGGGGGCGCTTGGGAAATGCTGGTTTTCGTTCCAGTGATACTTAAAGCGTTTTAAATATAGAAATAGAAATTAAAATGATTTGCCATTTCCGTACCTAACCTTGCTTCATCTAATTTAAAAGCAATTTTTAATCAAAAGTGCCTCCTACTCTTCACATTTTAGATTAGTTTTGTTAATGTGGGTGATTTTAATATAATATATAACCTATAAAGCATTTATAGACACAAATTTGCATATAAGATGAGAAAAGGCTCCCGCCAAGGTTGGAGGTCTGAAGTAGCAAGTTATCTCCTGGTGTAAATGAAGGTGAAATCTTCCAAATTTCCTTTACAAATATTTCATATCTTTTTATTTCCTCTCTTCGCGAGCATTACTGTCTTCATTTTCTTTCCCTATTTGTAAGCCTGTGGGTTGATTTCAGGCATGGACACTAGACAAGTAAGTGTCCCACAATTGAACTAAGCTGCAGGCCTTATCGTTCTTACACTGCCGAAATCACTTCCGTGTCTGCGCGTTATTTACACTCCAAATGTTAGAGCATCACGTGTCTATGGGGTGGAGACACACAGAGAGAATGATAAAGGAAAGGGTTGACAATTGAAATGGTTTTCCGTGAAATCTCTTTCTGTTTCTGTTGGTTTTTGAGACAGGCTCATACTATGTAGTCCAAGATGGCTTTCAATTTGTAATTCTCCTGCCTCACCCTTCCAAAGGCACCACCTTCTAATTTCTTTCATTGCTGAAATTTTTCTATAAGTTTAAAATGAATTTCAAGATGAGGTTGAATAAAACAACCTGATCATAGGGAACTCAAGACCATTCTGAGTATACAGTAAGATCCTATCAGACACACACACACACACACACACACACACACGCACACACAGATAGAGAGAGAGAGACAGAGACAGAGAGAGAGACAGACAGACAGACAGAGACAGAGAGAGCGCAAAACACTGCTGGCTTTGCTTTGGGGATGCGCGGAGCCCTTACTTAGCCATAGCATTTGATTCTAATTCATTACCTTTGCACTTGCTGTTCTTGAAGATGAACCTTTGTCTTCTGTATTTGTCTCCCTGGAGAATTCCTTTTTATTTCTGGTTTTGAGGTGGGACCTCACTATGTAGCACAGACTGGCCTCAAACCCCTGTTTCTCCTGCCTCAGCTTCCTGGGTGTTAGGTATACGCCACCACACTAAGATGAAAACTCCTACATTTCAATCCCCAGAGCATAACCTCTCTGGTAAGGGTGTCTGTGCTATGTGCCTAAGCCAATCTGCTGCTTTCCCCGGGGCTCACGGTGTTCTTTCTGACCCTCCTCTCATGTTCTGTAATTATTCTGCCGTCTTGTCTTGCAGAACAGGAGAACTCTGGCCACCTGCATTATTTAAACCCCAATTTCATCCCAACTTGTGACTCCTTGAGTTCAGGTCTCCATTGCTGGCTCCGGTGCCCTCCCTTCTGTGGTACGAGGCTGCCACAGGACAATATTGTTGAGGTTTCCTGTTGTTCCTGGCTGAGGCTTCACCCCTCCTCCTTCTCCCTGTTTGTTCTCCCTTTTCTTTTCCTCCTTGTGGAGGATGTGACCCTTTCCTGGTGAGATGCTGAACTGCAGGTACCATTTTGTTAAGGTCCCTCACCTCCCAGGTCCTTCCCTTGACCAGATTCTGCCTTTAACGCTGTTCACTCTGCCTTTTACAAGACTGTTTCCTTCTCTATAAAAATAGTGTGTCAGTCCAGTGGCCCTTCTAAAAGAGTAAATTATCATTTGTTTTGCTTATGCAGGCTGCTCAGAGAACTGACTTGGCCTAATCTTTTGTGCTAACTTGTAAAAGTTCTTCAAATAGTATTAACAAAAACTAATGAGGTATCTTTATAACCCTGTGTGTCTCAAAGAGCGGTGATCGGAGTGCCTTAGAGAGAGTCGACCGCCCCCCCCACCATCCCTGGAGTCTTAACATTATTCTGCTGACCCTTTAGGAGAGTGGTAAATGACTCTTTTCAAGTCTCCAGGTTTTTATTGCTTTCTTATCATGTGGGGCTGTACATTTTGTAGTTTAAAAAAATCCTTGGAGGGAAAAAAAAGCTATGGATATCAGCAGAAAGACATAGTCTCTTTGAAATATCACTCCAAAGCACCAATTATTTCCTAGGCTGATGAAGGTGCTTCCAATCTTCCCTTAAAGAATGGAGTCGGACCGGCCTGATGCTTCCTGAGAGCAAGATCCTGGTCTTTCTAGTTCAGCTTTGTTCCCTGGGTCTCTGACAGTGCTGGATTCAAGGCTGGAAATCAAATATTTAGTGAGTGAATAAGTACATGAGGCCAGTGTGGGTGCTTAAGGGGATGCCAGGGTCTCGGTTCATGGAAACCAATAGAAAAGAGCACCCTGGGTAGATTCTTGAGCCCAAAGGACAGCTCATGATGCATCTGTTTCATAAGCAATGAGGATGCTCCGCTCTACCAGCAGAAGGACTGTGAGCATCGTGAGCTCTTCCCAGAACCGAGGGCTGTGCAGAGGCCATCCTGTCCCTTTATGTCCCTGCTGCAGCAGGGCTTTTCTGCACTAGCTTTACTGGAATAAAAGGCCGCGGTAGTGATGGCTGTCTTCCCATCCGCTCTTTATCAACACAGGGCAGTTTCCTGTATTTGTCAGTGATGCGGAAATGATCTAGCTGACACTAGCACACGCGAGGGCCCCAAAGTTATGCTGCGTTGCTCCTCTGCCCCCATGCTCTAGCCTCATTCCCTCGGTTACTTTCTTCTTTTTGCTTTTTCTTTTTTAGGATCTACTTTTAAATTTATGTATGTGCGCGCCCATGAGTGGAAATGCCTGAAGAGGTCAGTGGAGGGCATAGGATCCTCTGGAGTTGGGAGTTACAGGCAACTGTGACCTGCCTGATGTGGAAACCAGGAACAGAACTTGGAGCCTCTGCAAGAGCAGTACATGTTCTTAATTGCTGAGCCATCTCTCCAGCCTGAAGCAGTTACTCCTTAAAAACCTACTTTATTTTCTGTCTGAGCTCATGGTCATTTGCATGGTAGCCAAGTCCAGATAATCTTGATCTATTGTGTGTCTCAGGTTTTCCAAAGCCTTTGTTCCTTCTGCTGTTAGAGTCCAGGGAACTGACAAATAATACTGCTGGGCCAGAGGAGGGAGAAAGAAGCCTTAAATCACCGAAATGTGGTGTACTCTGGACCTGCTCAGCATGAACCGAGGAGGAAAAAAAGGAGCTGCAAATAGGATTGGCTCCTTTGGGCTGAAACTGGATTGGCAGCAATGCAGATCAGCCATGGGTTGAAGTCATTTTCTACTTTGGCACGGCTCGGTCTGTGGGGAATGGTAGAGTCAGGAGTCAGCTGCAGGATTTTGGGAGCCGGCCAGCATCTACATCTGTTCTCAACTGTAAGTGGACTGGAAAAAACACTTTGAGTAAAAGCCAGTGAAGAGAGCAGAGAATCACTGCTCCCAGAAAGAGCAGAATAGGGGAATGGACCCATCACCAAGATGCTGAATTTAGTGACAAAGGTTTATGAGAAGAAAGTGTGGACAGTTCTTACCCTGTCTGTGAAGAGTCACCGCATTTCTGACAGTATTAGGGTCATAATCCACAGTACATGAAAGCCATGTTACCAGCAGGGGTTGCTGGCACCTAGGAGTAATCCCTGCACTTGGAGGGAGAGGTGGAAGGAAGGAAAGCTGAGGCCAGCCTGGAACAGGTAGAAACACAGAAAGCAATGCCAGGTTAGACTAAAGGAGGAGTCTCAGATTCAAGGGGAGTGTTTTGGTAATATTTACTGGATGCTGGACATGTTTTCATGAATTTCATGCAGGATTTCTTGTCTCCAAACACATGACTGGACCATACTGTAGGAGCAGTATAAAACTGTTTTTCATATAAAACTTTTTCTTTGGAAAGGTTCTCCATCAGCTGAGTGTTGTGAATAGCCTGAGTTGGAGCAAGCGTACTTAAAGGATGTAGTTTGGAATCACAATGGCCTCAGTCCAAAACGCAAATCCATCCCTTCCTGACTGTATGACTTCAGGCAAGTCGCCCTTTGACCTTCTGTGTTTTCACCTGAAATGGGGATCCTAACAGATGACTAACCAGGTTATTGGGAGACCCGATGTGTCCCAAGCCACCTAGAAAGTACAGGAAATACATTAACTCCTTTCTCTCTCGTCTGTTTGCTTTCTTTTTTTTATCACTATTATTACTTTTAAAGATTAATTTAATCTTTTTTTTGTGAAAATGGGGGTTCAACAAAGGGCTTTGCGCACGGAAGCAAGCATTGCACCGCTGAGCTAAATCTCCAGCCCTCTTCTTTTTATTGTGCAGTGGAGTTTCATTAAATTATCCAATTAGCCTTGAACTCAGTCTGTAGGCCAGGCTGGTCTTGACTTGTGGGCTCCCTGTCTCAGTCTACTTAAAAACCAATCTTCTATGCCTACACCACCAAACTGGCTTATTTTATTTTTTATTGGCACAAATAATGGAGCTTATTTATTCAGTATAACATAATCCATGAATCCATATGGAAATGATCAAATCATATCTGTCACTTTAAATATTTTTCATTTCTTTGTGGCTTACTACAAAATCTTGGTAGTTAGCTGTTTATTTTTTTTTTTAATTAAAGATATTTTATTTTGAGACAACATCTTTTCATGTAGCTCTGACTAGCCGGGACCTCACTGTGTAGACCAGGCTGACCTGTCTCATGGAGATCCACAGGCCTCTGCTTCTGGAGAGGATTGAAGGCATGCACCCCCACTCCTGGATTTCCTTTGACATACATGGACAGATGTCAATCATTGTCACCATAGTTGTCCCACTGTGCCGTCAGCGCTAGACTCTCTGCGCTGTGCGTGACTAACCCATGCCTGTCCATCCCCTTTGCCCCTCCCTGCTTCCTCTCTCGCACCCACTCTTAATTTCCACTTTCAGCCTCTGTGGGATCAACGGCCTTAGATTCCTTGCGTGTGAGACCACACAGTGCCTGTCTCTCCGTGTTTCGTGAGTTTTCTACCTGCCAGATACTGTTGCACATGCAGTTTTGATTTCTGGAGAATATGTTTTGTGTCATTGGAATGAATGAAATCCATATGCCTTGTCTAAACTTATAATTGCTTTTTTTCAAACTAGCCAAAAGTGACAAGAGAAACCAAAAGTAGCAAAGTAGGCTGGGAGGAGGCTATATGTGAGGGAGCAACTCAGCCAGGATGGGCTGGGGGAACTGTGGCAAGGGTCATTTGGGCTGTTCGGTCAAATGCCAAGTTCATCTTCGAAAGACTCACTGAATGGCAGTTACAAGCTTATAAAGTATTCAGAGTAATGGAAATGATTAGAAATAGTTTCCAAATCACTTGCAAGACATTTTTTACAGTTTGCTTTTTAGAAAAGTACATTTGCTAATTAACCAGCAGTACTTATACAAAGAGAACCAATATAAATAACACAGAGAGAAAGAGAGGGAAAGGAGGAGGAAAAGAGGTTGTTATGGGTCCCTGAGCCCTACTCAGTCTCTGCAAGTAATGATTTTGATATGAAAAATGAGATGAAATATGAAATCATATTTTTAAATACTTAGTTCTTTTTTAAAGGTAATTTATTTAACTTTATTTGGTGTACATTTGGTATGAAGGTGTCAAATTCCCTGAAATTGGAGTTACGGACAGTTGTGAGCTGCCATGTAGGTGCCGGAAATTGAACCCAAGTCCTCTGGAAGAATAACCAATGCTCTTAACCACTGAGCCATCTCTCCGACCCCAAAATTGATTATGTTTAAGGTGCCTTTCAAATCTATCATTTTAGCCTCCTGTTTGCTGTTTGTGTTTTAGTATCTCCTTTATTGAGATAAATCCCGATGGCTTACGGAGCCATGTTGGGTATTTTCACCCTACAATAGCACTAGGGAAGAGGGAGCTCTTGCTCTTCCTATTTCAAAGACAAAGACACGGAAGCTGATAAGACTTAAGACATCTTTAAAGATCAGCCAGGTGGGAATAGTGTGAAGACTTACTGGACGCAGGCTTTTAATCAAATCCACGTGTGTCGGAGTATAATCACCCTTGCTGTTCACTGACAGTGGGAGAGGAAGCTTCTCTGGCAACAGAGAAAATCAAACCTTGGTGGAAAACATCCTCTTAAATATGGATCATTATACCTATTAGAACAGAGGTTTTCAACCTTCCTAATGCTTTGACCCTTGAATACAGTTCCTCATTCTGTGACGACCCCCAATCATAAAACCATTTTCATTGCCACTTCATAACTGCAATTTTGCCACTGTTATGAGCCATAATATAAATGTCTGTGCTTTCTGATGGTCTTAGGTGATCCCTGTGAAAGGGTCATTCAAATTCCAAAGGGGGGTCTCAACCCCCAGGTTGAGACCTGCTGTATTAGAAACTTCACAGTACCTTGAGGAGGCCCGCTGGTTTGTTTCACTGGTTTCTCTTTGTGTAACGGGCAATGGGTGAGTTTTTCATGAACTGAGATGGTTGTTGTTTATCTTCATTAGAAGCCTCTGTGTACGTTAGGAAGGCTGGAGGCAACTCCACAACTCGTTTATATGTTCCCCACTCACTCTCCATTCTATTACAGAAGTAACAGGAATTAGAAGGGCACCAGGTTCCTAGCTCTCGGCCCAGAGCTTTCTCGGCTTCATATGGGCGTTTCCTGACAGCATGTCCACAGTGCTCACTGCCCAGCTCTGCCCCCCATCAACACACTCTGGCATCCAGTGTCAGGTTCTCTCCATGTTTGTCCATTAGCTTCCTCGAAGAAGGTTAGGGAATTGTTGGCAATGCCAGCTGGCCTTGACCAGCTCCTGTTGAGAGAAAACTCACGTCGCTTGGCCCTGGGAAGCTGCCTGTGTTTTTCATGGATGGAAGTACAGGAGCTAAGGGGATGTTCCTCCATCTGCCTGTTTGAGAGGAGCTGGCCTTTCTGTGTCTCTCATAGAGTGTGGGAAGACATATTGGCTTTGGCCAGTCCACCAAGGTGCTTCTGTTTGGATTGCTATGGGCTAAGGGAAGGAAGACTGTCCTCAGCCCAGAGGGTGCCTGCCTGTGCTTGAGGCTAGCAAAGGCTTCATATACCGCTGCAGCAGTAAGTGTGGCCGGACACCCCTTGCACTGTGCACTCTTGTACACTGTCTCCAAAACATGTCCTCGTCACATTTGGAGAGTCGACTTAGAAAGGATTGATTAAAAAAAAATCTACATACTGCACTTATTGGCTTTTTCACTACGATCAAGTGTAAAGTGTATGCTTATTGGCCATATTCATTGTGTGAAGTCACAGGTTTTATAAGGTCATTTGCATGTAATTATGTGTCCTTTGACTAGCATACTGCCTGTTTGTTGTAGAAATCTTAAAAGCAGAGAGGGATACAGAATACGAAATAAGTCCCATTTTTTTCATGGTGCCAGGGAGAATCACTGCGAAGTTTTTCTCATGCGTTGTTTGTAATTTTATAAGGTGTACACACACACACACACACACACACACACACACACGAGACTGGGTTATACTTCAGTGGTAGACTAAACCTCCCCCACCCCCAACTGATAAATATTTGTAAGGATTTTCAATGTGTGCAGTCTTTTTCCATGGAATGCATTATGTACATTTCCATGTGCTGCTAAATCTAACAATGCATTCACCGGCTGTGGGTATCCAGTCTATGCTAAGACTCAAACTGTAATAGAACTCTCCTGCTAATCTTCTACTGTTGTTCTGTTTTTTGTCTTAAATCACCAATGCCAGCCTTAAACTCACTGAGGGTGACCTTGACCTTTGGATGCTCCTGCCTCCACCTTCTGAAGGCTGGGACTGCAGGCCTACACCCCCTGTAAAGTTTTGTGTGGTGCTGGGCTTGAACGCAGGGATTCACTTAGGCTAGGTAAGCACTCTGCCAGTTGAGCTACATCCCAGCCACTTGGGTTTGCTTTGTTGTTAAAGGGTGAGAGCATCATGGGGGCAAGCATGGCACTGGAGAAGTAGCTAAGATCTTACATCTGACCCATAAGCGTGAACTGGGGGTGGGAAGAGTGGGCTTTTTGAAACTCCAAAACCAATCCCCGAGAGACACACCTCCTCCAACAAGGTCACACCTCTTCATCCTTCCCAAACAGTTCTACCAACAGGGAGGGGTGGGGGGGGACCCAAGCATTGCAATACATGACCCATAGGGGACATTCTCATTCAAACCACCACAGCAGGTGGCTGTTCTGCCAGGATGAGGTGCTCATTACTTCCTTGTCTTTGCAATAACCTATCATGGTACTGGATAGGATGACCCACCCAGGTCTCCACAAACTTAAAAGGAGTTGTAGTCAGCATGTTTCATGCTTCCTAAGTTTGGTTTTCTTCGTGTATTTGAAGTAATGTTTTCAGTTTTTACTAGTGTATATTAAGTATACAAAGTAATGGGTTTCATTGTGACATTTTCCCTGAATGCATGTAACATTCTTTAACCATATCCATCCCCCTTATTACCAATGAAAGTACCTTTTACAAAAATACATGAGTCATATTTGTTGTGTAATATTTTACTCTTTTGACTTTTTGAGGGGCAAAACATCCAGCTCTCAAATAAATCACACACACAGGCTCATTCTTTGTTATGAATTCCCAGCCTCAACTTGGCTTGTTTCTTGTCAGTTTTCCTTAACTAATTATCCCGACTACTTTTTTGCCTCTGGGCGCTTATCTTTCTCTAATTCTGTGTATCTCTTACTTTCCTTCTTACTTCGTGGCTAGCTGGGTGATTGGGGGGCTGTGCCTGATGTCCTCCTCCCCTTGTTCTGCTGTCTTCTTTCTTCTCTTGCTGCTCCTTGTTCTGGGGTCTCCTTCTGTTTATCCTCTCTGCCTGCCAGCCCCACCTATCCTTGCTCCTGCCTCGCTATTGGGTGCTCATCACTTTATTAGGCCCATCAGGTGTTTTAGACAGGCACAGTAACACAGCTTCACAGAGTTAAACAAATGCAGCGGAAGCAAAAGTCACACACCTGAAAATAATATTCCCCAACACATATTTCTGAAACTTTGGTGTCTCATTTAGAGGAAAAGTATTTGCAATTAAGACATATCATCTGATATCTGTTTATTATCTACATGGAAAAGTTCTTTCTATAAATAAAATGGAGAAAAACGTATAAGAAAGATAAAATTTGGCCTCTAACTTTGTAACAACCCAGGTTGGCCTCAAATTTATGATCCTCTTGCCTCAGCCTCTTCAGGTTCCTCAACAGGGTTATAATGTTGGTTTCTGTGTCTTGTGTCTCACACTGGCACAATCAAAACTTGCTCTGCCACCAGGCTTAGATAATTTTATTTCTGTTTTGACTGTGACTTTTCTCAAGGTAAGGAAGACTTCATTCTGATGTTATTATTATAGCTAAAAATTTAGTTCAAGGCCACATGTTGTGACAGACAAGACAGGCTGAGGTTAATGGGTCTGGATTCCGATCTCAGCTTTGCAATCAATCAGATCACCCAAACACTGCATCCTGTCAGGGCCTTGGTCCTCTGGGAAAACGAAGCAACTGTTGATATCCTTCAAGCCAAAGGATTTCTGATCCTATTTCTGGTTTTGATGCTATAGTCAAGGCAGACAATGTTAAATTTGGTTAATAATTTGCTATGGTCAGAGCTGGTGAGAAGGCAAACATGAGTTTGAAAAGCATCCCTCACAGCTGTAGTTTCCTTCTTTCCCCGTTTTGATGGTGTGAGATACTCCATCATGACCTTTTCTTTTTAAAAAGCCTTTTCTTACACTTTTAACTATGCGATGTGCTGTGTGTGTAGAAGTACACGTGTGTGAATGTTCCCCAGAGCACGTTAGGTCCCCTGGAGTTGGAGTGACAAAGGCCTTGAGTGTGCTGGGACCCCAACCCGGCTGCTCTGAACCCTCATCTGGGAGCAGCCGATGCTCCTAACCATTGAGCCCTCTGTCCAGCTCCTCATCATTTCTCTTACGGACATCTAGAATATTTTTTCTCTATCCTTCCCTTTCCAAGGTTTCTCTTTTGTGGAAAGATGTACTGGAAAGCATGCATCCAGGGCAGGGAACTCTCCGCAGGAAGAAAAGAAAGAGGAGCAAGAGTTGAGAAGGAAGGCAGAATGCACAGCTCTTAAAGAGAATGGTCGGAGAAGGCAGCGGCTGTCAGGGAGAGCCAGAGACGTGAGCACTGCCCATGGAGGATGCTTGTGAGAGCTTGCTGCGTGTCCAGAGTGAAGCTCTTTCCCATTCTCTTTTGTTCTTGGAAGGTGTTTTTTGTGCCCCTTCCAGGTGTAGCAGATAGGAGAGAATTTACTTCAGATAGCTCGTTACTGTTTGCTGTAGTTATTCGATTCAAATCTTAAACTAGCCTTTATATACCTTTATGGAAAACCGTGTTTTTGCCATGTGCAGCTTGTCCGTGTGATTACGTACAGATTGAACTCATGAGGACTTGGCTCGTGTGGCCTTCCTAACCCGCATACATTGTCTAAGGCTCTGAATAAAGCTGGCAAGTGCGTGAGACTTCATTTCTTGACTCTACTTCATTTCTTGACTCCCTTGTCCCAGGCCTCTAAGTGGTGACACTCTGTCATTGCAATTTGTTCGTGTCTCAGTTGAAAATAATCGA